GCAGACAAGAGGTCAAAGGTAAATCTGCTGCACAAGGTCTCTTCAAAGTCTTGAAAAGCAAGTATATTGTTTTGAGGACTAAGATAAGCCTGACCTCAGCCCTGATATGTTCAATCACCTCATATGCATGTGAAAGTTAGACATTGAATACGGAAGAACAAAGAAGAATCCATGCATTTGAAGTTTGGTGCCAGCAAAGAATATTCACAGACTGCCAAGAGAACAAGCAGTTTTGTCTTGGAAGAAATACAGCCAGAATACTCCTTGGAAGTAAAGATAGAGAGACCGCCTCTCATGTACTTTGGATTTGTTATCAGGAGAGACCGGTCCCTGGAGAAGAAAATCACACTTGTTAAAATAGCAGGGCAGAAAAAAAGAGGAAGTCCCTCAACTAAATGGATTGACACAGTGGCTGCAACAACGTGCTGAAACATAACAATTGTGCAGATGCCCCCAGAGCAGGTGGTGTTCCACTCATGTCGTTCAGAGTGCCCAGTGACACAAATGACCCTAATGTAATGAAATGTGCAGAGATCTGCACTTAGAGAGCCAAACGGGATGCACATACGCAGCACGGTCTCAAGCCGAAAGAACGGAAACAAGCAAAAAACAAACAACAACAAAAAAACAATGTTGAAAGATTCTATGGGGAAAATATTGAAAAGTTCAGGTAGTGTCAAAAAAGATGTAAAAAATGCACTCAGTCAACATACCAAAAAGGATTTTTTCAAAATTCATGTTTTTTATTAATAATATCATATGCTCAAGTACTAGAGCAGTGGTTTTCAATCTTCCTAATGCCATGGCCCTTTAATACAGCTCATGTTGTGGTGACCCCCCCAACCATAAAATTATTTCCATTGCTACTTCATAACTATAATTTGCTATTGTTATGAATCGGGCCACCTCTGTGAAAGGGTCGTTCGACCCCCCAAAGGGGTCACAACCCACAGGTTGAGAACCACTGAACTAGAGGAAGAAGTTCAAACTGCACTAAGGTCATTGGAGAAAAAAAAAAAAGCTTTCTAGAATTGACAGATGCCAATTCAATTATTTAAAACAAATGGATACAATACCAACACTGGACATACTCACTTCTGTATGCCAAAAAAAATTGAGTAACAGGTACCTAGCCCACCAACTGGAATAGATCCATATTTATGCTCATTCCAAAGAAAGATGACCCAACAGATTCTGGATATTAAAGTGTTGTAGAGCCAAGATGCAACTTTGAGAATTACAGTGTGCCTGCCCTAAGCCATGGTGTTTTCAATTACATTATATGTATGCAAAAACTGGGCAATAAATATAAAGGACTGAAGAAGAATTCATCAATTTTCAATTCATCATTTTGAATTATGGTGCTGGTGAAGAATATTGAAAATGCCTCTGAGTTCTAGACGAAAAAACAAATCAGTCTTGGAAGGAGTTCTGCCAGAGCGCTTCCTGCAGGACCAGAGGTCTTGATCATGTCCTGTCTCTTGCAGTGGTTGAATGCTGACGACGTTGGTGCAGTGACTCTGTGCATTCTTTCCCTCTACTTTTGTTGCTTCCTTCATTTGACAGTATTTTGCCCATTGACTCTTTCAAGACTGCAGCTGGAGGCTTGGAGTTTTCTTGAGTTCTTTCCGTTTCAGACATGCTGAGCATCTTCTCCCATTCTGTTTTCCTAACTCTAGGTCTTTGCAAATTGCATCCTAACTTCGGACTTCATCTTCTCGGGCTGCTTTTGAAATTTTCTGTTCAGCTTGTTTACTTTGAAATTTGCTCTTAATCATTGAGTAACTGAGGTAAAGGGAAAAAATGGTAAAGTCTCTTTTGACATCCACCTTGATCTTTTCTTTCTTTCCTGTCTTTTTAATGACATTTTGGTTTCTTCATGAATCATGTTCTTGAAGTCATCCCACAGCTCCTCAGGTTTTCTGTCATTAGTGCTCAATCCAGCAAATTTGTTTTTGAACTTCAGATGGGATAGAGTCTAAGTTGCATTTTTGGTTTTGTGGATGTGTTAGGTAGGGGTCTCTAGAGAAATGAAACTTGGACACTTGTGATAGAGGATAGGTTTATACAGTGAGAAGGACTATAACAGCTAGTTAGTCCACACAGCAGTACAGAGGGTTCAGTTCAACTCACTTCCACGGAACTGTTAGTTATTTTAAATTCTATCTCGTCATAGGTTAATGCCTCAAAGGCTTTACTCCTCCCAGCCATGTCATTTACCGGAAAAAGCGGTCTTCTTTAGTCATATTTTGAGTGCCTTTGCAACCTGCGGGGCTCACCTTTGGCCCGGTATCTGACAAAGTGGTGCTGCTATCCGCGAGGCTTTCAGTATCTGACAAGACCTGGATGCCACCTGTGCGGTCTGCAGTGGCCAATCCCTCAGCAGTGGGCAGCCTGCTCCGTCATTGCAGTCTGTTCTTACTCCGGACCTCCACTCACACCTGTTCACTTTGGGTGACCCTGCTGGTATCTGAAAATATCACTGACATAGCTTTTAGCCTCGTAAAAACACACTAGCCATGACAGCATGACAAATTGACAGATAAGTGTTGGACAGTTCATTATAATACTTTTTATTATAAAATAATTTTATTATAATTTTAATAAGATAACATTTTGAAATCTTCTCAGCTGCTTTATTTAATCATCTTTTACTATAAATCAAGAATGAGTTTGAGAGTTTCTTCTGACATCACTCTTAAAGATCCTCAAAAAACCCTTCAATGATTTCTTGATGTCATGCCACAACTCATCTTGTCTTTGTTCAATGTGCCAAATGAGATGTGTTTTTGAGATGTATTCTTGAGATGGCCCCTAAATTCACATGGGATATACTCAAAGTCATACATCACCGTTTGTGGGCTTGCTTACATTTTTTTCATCTTTGATTTAAATTTGAATATGAGCAATCAATAATTTCACATTCAGCTCCTGATCTTGTCCTGATTGACATGGAATATTTTCTTTGTCTCTTTCCACAGAAATAGTTTATTTGAATCCTGTGTGTTTAGTTTACAAGATCCATCCATATAGTAGTAGCTTATCTTATTGAACAAATGATAGTTGTATTGAATAAATCCTTGTTTATTTTTAAATCCTTGGTTTTATAAATATCTATCATGTGAAATGACATTGCTCTCATCACAAAGGCCATATTTTACATTTAACAATACTTCATTTCTGACATTTGTCTTCCAGTTAACATTAATACAAACGCATCTTGATTGCATGTGTGATCAATTTCAGACTGCAGAAATTGGTTAAAATATTCAATTTCTTCAATTGTGGCCTCTTTGTCTCTGGTGAGAAACTTTGACTGGTAGTTGGATTAACTGGCCTTCCTGTGTCAATATGGGAATTACCCTATTAAGACAGACTTTGGAATGTTCTTTTTAAAGACGATGAATGCAATGGCACCCCGCTCATTTTCGCTTCTGGGCTTATAGACCATGTGATGACCCATTCAAAATGGGCCAGCCCAGCCCAATTTCAGCTCATTAATGCCTAGGATAGCTATCTCTAAGTTAAATTTAGTATATTTTCATCCATTATGTCCACTGTCCTCTTTGTTTTATGACTTTGGAAACTCGTGTGTTTCATTGGTAAATGTTTAAACAATTATTTGTTTAGTTTTCTTTTTCTTTCTTTCCTATACATAATTTATTTGGATTTTGGGTTTAGTGGCAAATAATCCAATTCACTTTTTGACTCACATTTTCTAAATTTTTCTCATATTATCCTATCTTATTTTGTTTGAAAATATTTTATCCATTGCAGCTAATAATAATTCCTTAAACAACACAATTCCTATTTCCTTGAAAACGCTTATTACCTTATGATATTTGTCTTTGACCTTTCATATAGAAACATTTCCTTGACTGTTCATTTAATCTGAATTTTCTGTTCCATTTAATTATTGATGACAGCTTGGATTTTATGAGTTCTTTAGGTGGGGGCTGTTGATTATGGGCTTCACTGTAAGTTCTGATGGCAGTGCTCAAGGTGCTGACGTATTCCCTCCATGCCTGCTCTGGACATGGTTAGAGTGCTGTTTCTATCGTGGCCTATGGCAAAATGCCTTCTATCCCTCTGCCAGCCCTTTGAAGTTGCTGAGCGTGCAGAACATGTTTCATTTACCTTTCTTTGTTCCTAAGTAAGACAAAGCTTAGAAGTGGTAGGCACTCGGTGAGTATCATTCAGGAGTAAGACATGATGTAATTGTTCAGTCAGCATCTCTGGGAGGTGCAAAGGGTTAGTGGGCTTGGCGCTAACTTAGAGGCTCTGGACGAAAGCCCTGCTGATGGACTTTTCAAACATCAGCCAAGGAAGGCCCAGGGCCATCTAACACACACGGGGCCTCAGGGCTTAGAGTGGACAGCAGCGTGCTTATTTTTATTGGGTAGCTATTTTGATGGTTCTGCTTAACAGTGTTCCTTATATTGTACTAAATCTTTGAGGGATTTTAGCATTTTTCTCACAATGAAAGTCTGAGCAATTTCCATATACAGGATTATAATCTCAAAGTAGAAATTCGTGAAAAATTAAATGTACATTCATATTTTAAATTCTAACTGATAAGAGAATTATGATCTGAACACATCTTGATAGGAGTAGAATAAAGGATTTGAGTTTTATAATTACATATGCTTGTTTTCACTGGAGTTTGCATACAGCAGTCCTCAGTCAAACACTCAGGCACTGTATAAACACTTTTGGGAAACTGCCTGGAAAGCTGGCAGAATAAAGGATTAGATCTGTCTGAAACTGTCAAGAAAGTAGAAGCTCTGAGTAATGATCGTCACATCCTTGTTGTTAATATTCTTCCTATCTTTAAGTAGTAGGAAAGCTTTCGGTACTTTGCCTAGTCGGTGGCTAGCTAAATCATTTGTGGATTATCTATGAGCTTCCTTTCATATTTACAATCACTTATGAACCAAAACATTTTATTTAGCATGATATTTTAGCTTTCTAACTCTGTTATTATTTTTCTTCTTCACAAGTGTAGTGACTATGACTTGGACTTTGGAACTGAATGTTTACAATTGGCTCTACAATACTGTCAAACCAAAGCCAAACTGGTAGAAGGCAGCCCAGACCTGTGGAAGGTAAGAGAGTTGACTTTTGTTCTGATTGTGGACTGTCTTGTTTGCCATTCCTATAGACTCAACTCTATCATGAAAAATATTGCACAGATACTTCACAAAAGTGGATAAGTACTTTGAAATTACTTAGTTTAATACTGAACGAGATACTTCCAGGAAAGAATAAGAAAGTGAGTTGTGTACATACATGTTTATAGGTGTATGCAGATGCACACATGCATTTATCAGTACTATAAATTTAAAGGAGTTAAATGATTTTCACTGTGTTTACTGATCCATCACAGTATGGATGATACTAGTTCTAGCGCTTGATATGTTAGGTTGGGTTATCTAGAGAAATAAAACCTGGGACATTCATATATGTGTACGGAATAACTATATATCAAGAAGTAATTATATGGCATGAAGACATCCCAGCCCAGTCCAAATCAAGTCATGGGTCCGAAGCGAGCCAGAGCCCTCTTCAGACATAGGTTCCCATAGCTAGGGAACCTAAGAGGAGATGCAGGAAGTAGGGAGATCACAGATCAGTAGATACAGAGTCACTTGAATTCATGGTTGGTGGGAACATGTCAAAGAGCCAATAACAGGCTGATCACAGCTGATGATGTCTCCTTTGGGATGTGGTCTTTTTATAAGAAAGGCATTGGGAAATTCTAGCTCTTACTCCTTGCCTCCACTCTTGCTGGGACTCTCTGCCTTCATGGGTGTCCCATGTGGGCTGCTGACCCTGAGATCCACCCTCCCAAGTTCTCACTGCCCTTGAATCCACGCAACTCTGCACTCGCTAGCTTGTGATTTTCCTGCATCTCGCTTTTTCTTTGTTTCGCTGGCTTCAACGGTGGGACTCTGAAGTTGGCTCTGGTGAGGAAAGGACCCATGAGCTAGAACTGGGCCGGGCTGGGATGACTTCTTGATATAAAGTTATTTCTTGATATGAAATTCTTTCTTACACCTATATATGAGTGTCAATGATTTTGATTTTCTAGACAACCCAACCTAACACAGCAAGATAGTTGCACTGTCATACTTCCGTTCCTATTGTACTAGGGATGTTTTATAGTGTGATTCTCCTGTGTTTTCCTAGATAGAATTATGTGAAATTGAATACGCCATTTTGAGTTAGAACTATAGTGACATTTCACCAATATCCCTGATTTTGAAGTTTTGATTTTTGTCCTTTGAAACCTTTATAAATTGTGCAAATGTGATTAAAGATTCATTCTGAGACTCTATGATCAAAAGCAGATTTCTAAATTGTAAAACTACAGCAAAAAGGACATGCTGATAATTACACATTTTTCAGTATATCAGCATGGGCTTTGCTGTAATGTTCAGATAATGTCAAATATTCTAAAGCTGTTTCTTTCTAAGGTTCTACAATATTGACACGGTAGAGAAAATTTACACAGAATTTCTGCTAAGAACATCCACCTGTCTGGCAAGAATTTTGTAATGTTTATTGCCATTCTATATATGGAATAAGTAGTATCTTAGGTTTTGTCCTCTGTAGAAGCAAAACCAGTGATGCTATTATATGTATATATAGCCAGCAAAGTTATATCAAGAAAATGGCTCACACAATTGTGGAAGGGGGCAAGTTCAAGGCTGAGCAGTCTCTGAGTCTGTGAGTCAGAGGTTAGGCTGAACGCTTCACCTGACTCGAGGAGCTGAGGACTTGTTGACGATCAGTAGGAAAACCACAGGCTGTTGGCTGAATCCAAGGACAGCAATACACGCTTGTGCTGCAAAGGTGAATGAACTCCAGATTGACAGACATGATGACAGGCTGCTGATGACTCCCAGGATCTATAGGCAATATGACAGACCATTTGCTCAAGTCTAGAGAACTGGAGGTTGGTGAACCATGCCCAGTGAAAAGCATGCAAGATTTCTCACAGTGCTCACGTCTATTGCCAGCTGGTCATACCCATAGGGAAAATTCCTTTTAATCGATTGCATCAGGACTGTCATCTGAATAAGGATGCTTCATTCCTCCTTAATTTTACCCAATCATGGAGGATTACAACTGATTTGCAGTGATTACATTGTATTAGGTAAAGGTACAACAAACCACTGAGTATCCTAGCCTAGCCAAGCTGATGTAAAAGCGAACTATCACAGGTGGTGATATATTAATATAATAAGGATGTTGGTAATTACCAATCAGGTATTTTACTAATACTTCTGTAAATCCTCATATGAAACAAACAAACAAAAGCAAACCCAAAACAACATTTGCCTGCATCCTCATCCTAAATTGAAAGCCAAGTTAAAATGTGGAAACTTTGAGGGGTTTCATTGCTGCCAACATGTTATCCTTCTTTAGTGCATTCTGTGATGTTGGAAGTACCATGGTCTACATTTTGTGGGCATTCTAAACTTCCATTAAGCTTGAAAAACACTATGCAGATAAAAGGGTTGAAAGGAACATATTGCCCTTTGAACTTGTCACTCTATTTTCTCAAATGTATTTTAATTTTGGTTAACATGCTCATATTCTTGCTGCTTCAAGAAAGAAGATTTTTGGTCGCAGATACATCTTGTCTTTCTGCTTCTCTTTTATATAACAATTATCAGTGTGCTCTTATAATGTGTGGCCTTGCTACAGGGTTTTATGAGTTCTCTTGCTGAGTCATGCCATGTTACATATGCTCGATAGCAACACCCTCTCTTAGACCCAGCTGGATCTACATCATAGTGTTACTTGCAAAACTGGGGCTTGGGAAAGCCCTACCCTTATTAATGAGGTTTAAACAATGATATACTTCAAAGCAATCTTGAACTCTGAAAGGGCTTGTAATGAATGGATTTGTTAAGCGCCTTCCAAATAGCAGCTATGAGAATTCTTTTTTCAGTGTACCAGATGTTTTCTGTTGATGGATGTCGAAATGGTTTTGAGTGTACAATATTCAATGGCTTTAGGTTCTTTGTTTCCCTCTTCCATCTCCCATTTCTTAGCAACTACTTTCCCGATCGTTGGGTATTTTCTTAGTTGTGTATTTTCCCCTTTAATGACATTGTGTGATTTATCATTCATAAATGTTTCTCATTAAATCTATGTTGTGATCTTATCATCCAGTATGGATTTCAGTTGCCCCTCAAATCATAAGGAGCCTTAGTGGTACAGTGAGTTAAGCATTGGGCTGTTATCCAAAAGATCAGTGATTCCCACTCACCAGCTATTTCACAAGCGACTGAGGTTTTCTGCCCCCAAGATTTATAGTCCCTATGGAGCACGTTGACACAAAAGCTAAGTAGCACATTTCTATTCTGCCCTAAAAGGTTTAGATGAGTTGGAGTTTAATTAATTTGAGCTCACACCACAGAAATGCAATCTGTATTTGGAAATGAGTATTCTAGATCCACACTGACTCTCAAGGTACTGCCATTTCTACTTATTCCGATGAGTGAAAAAGGTGAGCACAGACCTGTTGAAACTGGCAGTGGGCGCAGGTGGCATAGCCAAGCAGCTCCAACAAAATTCAGAAACCAGGCACATTTGGATGTTATCAGGAGACACTTCACTACTAAACAATAAGGTGGGGAGAGAGCCCGTCCCTAACCCCTTCGGAAGTCAAGGAGGTCAGCCCCCAACCCTGTCAGAAATATTTGGAAATTTCTCGAGTCCACATCTAGGATTCTTATTTCAACTGTCATTAGAAACACCAGCAGGGTTTTTGTTGTGCATTTTAGAATGTTGTTTACAAGGGTGAGTAAAAAATAACCGATGCTGGAATTCCAGCTCACACACGCATGGGATTATTTTAAACAGAACATGTTTAAACATTTTCTGCAATCGGTGGATGCTGCGGAGAAGTGCTTTCAGGAATACACTCCTCTTAGGGTCAGGGAGCCCTTAGCAGATCCCCTTACAGGGCTGTCAGCGTGTCAGATTGGCCCCATCTCATCAGCGAAAGAGCTTCAGTTCCCTCCAAGGGGATCGGCTGTGCCAACTAGATTCAGAGAGGCTAGTCCAGAAGCTAGAGCAATTGTTATTTTGGATTCTCAATAATAATAATAATAATAATAGTAATACTAATTTTGACAGATTTATCTCCAGGGACACAGGGTGATCCTAAGGGTTTTGTATAAAGAAGTCTTAAAAAAAAAGCAAAGCATCACTGGTGAGAAAAGGTCCACATAGCTGTGCTGAGGCACTTTTCCCATTTAGCGCACCTAGTCCTTTTTTCCGGGGAGCCAGGGCTGTCCTGTGAGAATTTCACTCGGAAACTTGACCCAATTCACCCTACAATTCTGAGTTTGCCCCCTTCATCCTTCTTTTTGTTCCCTAAACTCAAAGAACATAGGAAATGTGCACAATTTGACTACCTAGAGGGTGACAGAGCTGTTGATTTGATGTAGTCTCAAATAAACAGTGTACAATCTTCGCCGGGGAAGAGTTCGAAAGACAGAAGACCTACTGCAGAAGTGTATGGAATCAAGTGAAAGATCTGTCCAGAAACAATATGTTGATCTTTTCAACCAGTAAAGATCTCAGTGATTTGTATCACTTCTTTTTATCTTACCTGCTATTTATAAAAATAAACACTAAAAGTAAACATTTAGTTTTGATGTCAACCTTCTATTACCAGATCCTTTGGGGACCAGAGGTAAACATCAATTCATTGATTTAAAAAAAATTTTTTTTTTTTACTGAGCAGGATAGAGAGCACCCCATTGGGAGGTGCAGTCTTACCCATGGGTGACCAACCATAAGTGGGCACACCATTTGGGGTTCAGGATTGGCTCTGATGCTTTCCTCGAGTGGTAACATCTGTGTAGGTTTTAATTCTGCCTCTTACCTTGGGGAGATTTCATTTCAGCCAATGGAAGAACTTCCCTCCTTTTAGTTTACAGCTTGCCTAACTAAATTCACTATTCTCTAAGATTGCTACCTAATATTTCAAGTTACTGTTGTCAGATTGTTCCAATATTGATGGTATCCATAAGAGCATAATACTCAAGGCAGACCTTTTTAAATTTAAAAAAAATAAAAGATC